TTCCACCTCCATCTTCTTCACCCATCCACCATAGCCAAGCACCTTCTTCTACCTCCATCTCCCTCACCCATCCTCCATAGCCAAGCACCTTCTTCTACCTTCATCTCCTTCACCCATCCACCATAGCCAAGCATCTCCAAACCTTCTTCTACCTCCATCTCCCTCACCCATCCTCCATAGCCAAGCACCTTCTTCCACCTACATCTCCTTCACCCATCCACCATAGCCAAGCACCTTCTTCCTTCTTCCACCTCCATCTTCTTCACCCGTCCACCTTATCCTAGCACCTTCTACCTCCACCTCCTTCACCCATCCTCCATAGCCAACACCTTCTTCCACCTCCAACTTCTTCACCCATCCACCATAGCCAGGCACCTTCTTCCACCTCCATTTCCTTCGCCCATCCTCCATAGTCAAGCACCTTCCTTCACCCCCTCGATCACCAATCAATGCTGCGGGCCAAGGCACATAGGGCAGCAAGTCGTATAAGCGGTCATTGGTAGGACGGTAGGACGAGTGGGGGGGAAGGGGGATTAGGCCTAGGCTCTCTCTCTCTCTCTCTCTCTCTCTCTCTCTCTCTCTCTCTCTCTCTCTCTCTCTCTCTCTCTCTCTCTCTCTCTCTCTCTCTCGTTCTCTTTATCTCTCTCTCTCTCCTCCTCCTTAGCTCCAAAGATTTTCTCTCCCCCCGCCGCTTCCGAACCCCAAGGTCAACCTCACCCTCTCTCACTCACTTGTTACAGTGTCAGGGCACAAACGAGAAAAAAACCTTAAATCTTGCTTGGTGGAGAAAGAGGGTAAGGGGAGGACAGTCGGTCCCTTGTGCCACCAAAAAGATAAGGAAAGGAAGAGCTTGACGAAGCTTAACGTTTGAAAAAGTCCGAGGAGGACTTGAGATAATTGCCAAGTGAAAGCAACGTTAGTTGACTCAACCAGAACCCCGACTGCATGACTAAGAGAAGAGGGTGGATTGGACGAGCAAAGGAAATGAAAAGGAGAAAGAACCCGAAGACAAGGAGAACTAGGCATGTGGGAGGGATTATGTGTTGACCCTGAATGGGGGTTGTATCGTTTTTTGCATTGTGATTGGTTGTGCAAGTGAGTAGCCTTGGGATGTCTTGAGTTGAACCGAGCCCGGGTATGCTGGGCGGCAAAGGGAAAAGGGGGAGAACGAAGGTTAAGTGGCCGTTGACATAAACTCTATCTATGACTCGGACATTTGTGCATGTAGTCTTAGGTATGGATGAAAAAGGGGAAGGCGATGTGGTGTTTTGATTGAAGTGCTGCCTAATGTCGAGCGGTCAAGATGGCCGCCAAATCCTTTGAATATGTAGGTGGGGACCCCGAAAAGACTAAGGGGTACTTTGAAATCAATGTGCATGATGCATGAGAAATGGAGACAATAGGAGCTAGGGCGTAGACCAGCTAAGGAGGACGGGTTGTGCCCACCTTCGATGAAGCTATACGACCATTGCGTTAGGAAATGCATGCGTGGCCTAAGGATGACGCTTAGCCTGCACATAATGGAAGAAAGGTCTCAAAGAACCCCCTGGACTGCCTGCGTATTGGAAGGAGCAATTGCCTGAGAACAAAAGCAAGTATCAAGAAAAGGACGCTTGCAAGTGAATTGCAAAATTGTTCCACTAGCGAGAAAGTTGAGCTACATCCCCAATGTCAAAGCTCTCTCGCTCGATGGCCCACCCCCATCCATCTCAAAGCACTAGGTGGGGGTGACCCTGTGACGAATGGCTCCGCGCCCTGCGCATGAGTGTGGGCGGAGCCGAGCCAACTGGGACCCGCACAGTGGTCGACTCAGGCTCGAAAGTCTAACAGGGTGAGGCCCTACACCGGTTTGTCAAGCAGATGGTTGCCATGTTCTGGCTCCCACCCAGTTGATCCCATATGGCCCGACTCTTCTCTAGTTTGACAAAGGCGAGGTCGTTCACATTCAAGGATCTTAGGCCCAGGTCCAGGTCTTCAGGCACTGCTTCCAGGTTAGGTTTATGCAGTACAACGTGTCTATCTCCTCCGTGTTGCTATTTCGCAGCGCAAGTTAGGGGCACACGCACTCATGGCGGCTGTCGGGACCTTGTGTCCCATTTGTGTAAGTTAAGAATGTTTTGATGGACGATAGTGGAGAGGCACATGCACACGTCCTTCTCAAACCAAAAGGTGCTTGCCAGATCCAACAGATCTTTGTGACTATGCCAGTGCAGGTTTGCTACCTTGTTGGAATTGAAAAGGGCATATAGGGCAGTTCGTGCCATCTGAAACAGTTTCACCTAATTGGCGCGAGACTGCAGATCTGAGGGCTCGATACCTAGACCTACCCCAAAGCCCTGTACAACTACCCAGACCCTGTGTGCCTTGAACTTGTGACCTGTCCCCAGACACGTGCGGTAGGGTTTCATGCGTATAGTTCGGTCACGTGGACTCGAACCGTAGCCCTTAGTTTTAGTAGTCCTAGGGTCAATCTTATAGGTTAGCCCGAAGTGTATCGAAGGGTCAATCAACGTAGCGTAGGACTTTCTAGAAGTGGCTACTTGGCTGTTCGGAGTTGTAGGAGTAAATAGTCGTAGATGAGTCAGCAAGGTAGAGTCTAGACCTTATCTAGTCAGCAGTCCCCGTCGGCAATCCTAGTCCACTTTGTCTAGTCAGCAACTACCAGGTGGGGCTGCATATTCCTTGGGGTTGGGACCTGAGGCAGGCCAGACCACCAACGAAATAGTACAAATAAAGAGCCAGTGCCAAGCCATTCATTCATTCGCCTACGAGCGATGCGGAAGTATTGCTTGTGCGACTTGTGCATTCGGAGGTCTGCAGGTGCCTGAAGACAAAGAGGGCAGAGGACGACGACAACGGCTATAGCGGCCAGCACCTAGAGGAGGAAGGAGACGGGCGGCCATAGCCACCAAGAGCTGACGTCAACAGTTAGTGTCTAGTGTGTGTGTGTGTGTGTTCTGTGTATGTGAGTGTGTGTGTTGTGTGTATGTGTGTGTGTGTGGGTGTGTGTGTGTGTGTGTGGAAATTCAGGGTAGGTCCTAGTACATACGTGTACGAGTGAGAGTGTGTATGATGGTGGCTACAGTGTTCGGGTGACCGGCGGTCAGCTGCCATAGCTGCAGCATGTGACAAGTTGTCTTGAGTTGAGTTTTGGCCAAAGGCCATATTTCCGAGTTTTTTGTGTAGGTGCGACGCGCCATCTCAAGTTTATTGCTGATTTTGTGTTGAGGAAGTTGCTCTCCCATTGGAACCAACATGTAGGTATGTGAGGAAGCGAGATCAAGACAAGTCTGATTGCACTGATATCAAAGCTGGTTCCCGTTGTCTGGGCCATCTCAACGACCGCCGCGAAGAGGAAGAAAACTGCGGCAAAAAGACGAAGAGAGAGAGAGAGAAAGAGAGAGACCCACGAAGAGGAAGAAGATTGTCCGCCATTGTGGACGGGGGACGAGGAAGGAGAGGTTGACGAAGGGGAAGAAGCCGCCATAACCGGATGTCGGAGAGTTGACCGGCGTTGACCAAGCATTGACCCGCTTTGACCGGGGGTCGACTGGCGTTGACTAGAGGTTGACCGGTGTCGTTGACCAAGCTGGAGTGCGGAGCGAGGAGCGATATAATCCCTTAAAGCCCTAGCCCTTGTCCCCGATGACCTGTGGATGTTGCACACTCGCCTTGGTACTTGCTGAAGACTTTGTCATCTCTTTCTGCATCGAGTCACTCCTGTCCAGGTCGATAGGTTTCATGCATAGGGGTTGTGAGCCTGTGTCTTCATGAGACTTAGTAGGGGTGAGGTGTATCTGACACGAGATGACCTGGGAAAACACCCCCAAGGACCGGTACAGACCGGCAAGTTGCTCTGGGTGGTACACTATACCCCAACTCTGAGCTGAAGAGCGGGTGTCCAGTCTGTCCAAGTCTCGAGAGGACTTTGGTTGTGATCGTCGTCCTGACTGCGACATTAAAGAATTCTTGAGGAGTTGTGGCGAACCTCCTTAAACCACCAGTACACGGCCTCAACCTTGCAACAAAATAACTTGTCGCCACAAGAAGTAAAAGGCGGGCTTGGGGCAGGGTCGGAGCGTCAGAAGGTTTTCAAATTTTTGGGCCCATCTCAAATCTGTACGTCCCAAAAAAGAAAAAAGCCTTTGGCCGTGATTGCAGTTGGATACACTTTTTGGAGTACTCGTGCGAGTTTGCCCTTAGTGAGGGCACTTCAGCAGAACGTAGAACACGGGGAGCAAGACTGTCCGACTCTCAAAAAAAGAAAAAAGAAAAAAAGAACAGCCTTTGGTCGTGATTGCAGTTGGATACACGTTTTGGAGTACTCGTGCGAGTTTGCCCTCGGTGAGGGCACTTCATCAATAGGTAGAACACGGGGAGCAGCACTGTCAGACTCTAAAAAAAAAAGAACAAAACAAAAAAAGCCAACAACACTTTGCCCGTGAAAGTGGTTGGATGCATTTCAACGTGGCTAGTGTGAGTATGCTCAGCGAGGGCGTTTTGAGCAAGAGGAATATGCGCTGCCTTGCTGGCAGGGCCAGGAAAAAAAAAAAAAAAGGAGAAACAACAACATTTCCCTCTCCCCATAATAGTGGGCAGATGCATTCAGGAAAGTGATCATTTGCTTATGGCCTCCATGACGTCCTTTCACGACATCATTGCTCTTTGGCATGTGTTTGTTCCTTTCTTTTCTTTTCTTTTCTTTTTTGGTTCAGGCAGCCCGGCGGCACCAGTGCCACTTCCGAAATTCCCACTGCAGGTACCCTCACGCAGAAGGCTCGGAAAATAGTGGTGCGCAGTGGGCACGTAGGTTCGGGATTTTAGGTGCGAGTGTACTGGTGGTTTAAAATGCCCCCTGATCAGCCAATATTCCTGTAGTGACAGACTAGCAGTAGCTTAGGCTAGAATCGTGTAGTTGACAGAGAGTCAATCTGAAGCCAAACCCAAGCTGGATTGGTGACTGTGGTTGCGACCACATCGGACGACTGTGGAAAGATTGGTGACTGCGGTTGCAAAAGCATCCGATAATTGTGGAAAGATCGGTGACTGTGGTTGTGGACGCATCCAACGACTGTGGAAAGATTGGTGGATGTGGTTGCGAAAGCATCTGAAGATTGTGGTAACCTCACTGAAGTGGAGGAGAGACCTATGTAGTTCTATAGAAGTCAAAGTCTAGAGGTCGGGTCTACGTGTTGGGGAGTGGAACCGCTAGTGATTGTGCCCCTACCAACATGGTGACCGCCAGGAACGGAACTAGCACAACCCCGTATAATAAGGCACAAGAAGAGACAGTTGCCGCAATTCTCCGCGAAAAGAGGGAGAAGATGGAGAAGGAGTTGATCTCGCAGGCCAAGAAATTGGCCCTGCTCGAAGAAGAAGCAGCCAAGAAGACGCAAATGGAGGAAGAGAGAGAGAAATGGAAGAAGGAACAAGAGGCGAAGCTGGCTGCTGT